ACTTGTAAATGTTTGTGTCTTAAACCAGAAACCTGTGCATGGGATTTCATGGAATGATGAGTTTAATGAAAATGTTAAAATGTATATAAGATGTTTTATTAAATTTCACTCATTTTTAGGGAGTAAATTCCTGCACATGCCAGATTGTATTTTGTCTGTATAATGCTGTTATCCCAACTTTAGTGGTAATTATTGTCAAATGAGATAAGATGCTGATTATATATTGTGAAGTGACCGATTTGTAAGCATAATCCTAGACACTGAATGGATCAACTGATGAGAGCCACAAAAGTAATTGGGATCATCAGTGTCCTGGTTGAAATTCGAACCTGATACCAGTCAAAAGACATACTGCATGGGCTAACCTGCATGAATCACTGCCCAGTGTTATTAAAGAAGGAATTTTTATGTGCATGTATTTCTAGATGCATGAAAACTCCAACTGAAATAGGCTGTAAACTTCATTCATTGATATAAGGAAGAGTAACCACTGCCTTGCATCATACATTCATCATCTTTAATCATCATAATCATATTTATGCATAAGCAACATCACATTTTATGTAATGTAAGTCTAAATCATGAACGTAGTATGACAAAACTGTTCAGCCCCCTTTCCAGCATGTGTCATCATCATAATCAAAAGGCCAGGGTTAGACCCTAGCTAGATTTGTGGTTTTCCTCCAAGCAAATGTTGGGCCAGAATTACCCACATTAGAATTCCTTTAACACAAATGCAGAACAGATAAAAAATGTTTCCTTGAAATGTACTCGTATTCTCCCATTATAAACCACTCTGGGAGTGATCATATTTATTCAGCAGTTGACTGCAGCAGTGCCATCCCTAGGGTATAGCAAATGGGACAGCTGCCCAAGGCCCTGCACATCAACATTACACAGTATGGAATATTTCCTGTGCACCATCCTACCTTTAAGGGTAGCAAAATCATATACTAGTTCTTAAATGACAATTCCATAGCAAGTTTATGTTGATTTGAAATCAACAATATGTTTCCCCATCGTTGTACATTATTGATAAGTCATAATTACCTACAGCTCTGAAAAGCTATATTCACTGCTTGACTCTGAAGTAGAAAGGCATAACACTGCTGCCAATATAATAACCAAATTATTACAGTCAGCCAAAGATCATGACTGAGACTGAAGGCAGCAGAATAAAACAGTGAAAGAAAATGTCCTATTGGTTTCTTAATAATGAGCTTGTTCATAACTTACAAGAGACTCTACAATTAAAATAAGGATAAAGATACTTTAATTTTTAAATTATGTATAAATTATTTTATTTTTTGAAATGTAAATTACAATTTCATCTCATTAATGATTTTTAGCTTAATTTATTTCCTTAAAAGGGACTTATGTGGTCATGATGCTTTTGTGTATATCCCCCCATTTCAAATTTTGAGCCAGATTACCAACTTATTGAAGGTTGGCGTGACATTTATTCCAATGGAGGCTGCTGCGACGCTGTAGGTTTTTGATTTCCTACATTTAATGTTAACACCTTGACAGATGTGCAAATATGTGAGGCTGGGGTGTCACTATATCACTTGCTTTATAATCCTGATTTATGATAAAACAGAAACATGATATATGGCTTCAGCATTCAACTTGAAGGTTTGCCAGAACATGGGTAAACCCTCAAAATTCAATGCAGTCTGGTCTCAAAAGCTGAAGCCACACGATCAGCTCCACCCACAGAAACCTTAGGACCAGAAAAAATTGATGGCCATGAGAAAGTCTTGTTTAGTTTTATGTTTAATGATGGTAACTAATTATACTTGAGAACCTCAAATCCTATAAGACCTGAAATATTGTTTGTAAGTCAACTGTTACAAATATGGTGACAATGCAAAACTGAGGTTGTATCAAACAAATTTAACATATAGAAAACCTGTACTTAAGTAGTAGATTCGTTAAAAAAGGTGAAATGAAATTACTATAATAACAGAGTACTGGGTCTGTGGCTTAGAAATCTGTGAAAGATTTTTTGTAGGTTTTATTAGTCTTCACTGGAACTCCACATTGTTTAAGTGTAAATATAATTAATGCTGATAATAAGGTTGCTTGTGACACTATGTAATACAGTAGGTGGTTTCAGAGGAACATGTTGCTTCTGTCTTCAGGGTCGAAGTGAGTAGGGTGAGGAGGTAGGCAAGGTGCAAGGAAATAATCACTCAGATCCACGTGAGGATAAGATGAAATAAAACTGTGTCTGGGCCAATAAGAATGGTGAACAGGAAATTCCAGAGGTAAAATAAAAATGACCTGCTGTTATTGTTTATTGAAAGGGTCAGTAATTAACAGTGGGTGAAAACCTTACAACGAAATATATATAATTTGTGACACTATGTTGTGTGACAGTGTGTGACTTGTGGATAGATGATTTATATCAGACAGTGCTGCAAACTAGTGAGGTCTTTATATTTTCAGTGTGACAGTGCACAGAATTTTAAAGCTGTGAATTACAAGTAAGTAATGTTTTGATAAATGTGTGTCAGAGGAGAAAAAGAAAGAGTATAGAAGGAATTATTAAAATGAAGGGTTCTCTGGAAAAGTTTTGTAGCAAGGAATTTGAGGAATGTGGTTTTCATGTAGGCAGCATGGTTATGACAGGTAAGTTTCATTTTTTGTGATATTACTAGTGATTCCAGTATACATAAAAATGAACTGCATTGTAAGTAAAAAGTCAGGCCCCGTGAAATTTAACCCTCAGGTTTCTATCATTGGCCTGTCTCATTTGTATAAAATGTTAAGGGCCCAATATACACTGATTTGCCACAGACTCTGCACCCGTATAGAGATGGCTCTGGGATGCAGCAATTGCTGAATCTTTAATACTTTTTATTTCTGTATATCCTTGTTATTCTATTTTACCTGTCCTAATTTAGTTGGCTTACAATTTTTTGTTAGTGGGCACGTTATCTCTTGGTATTGTCACTTGAATCAGTCTCAGTGTATACGAAGGGGGACCCAAAAATAACCGGAAACGACCTGTTGCGCGCGCATGCTTTGTAGTTACGAGTTGTGCTGCTAGGTGGTGTTAGCTGGGGGTCTCCCGCGGCTATTAGTGAGCTGGCGTCAGTCTGAGTTAAGTGGTTTGTCTGTGGTGCTCTGTTGTGTGCATTCCTGTTTCAACCCTTTGGCGATTAGTGAGATGGCCGACCAGAAGGAACAAAGAGTGTGCGTGAAATTTTGCTTTCTGTTAGGGAAAACTGCACTTCACTCTTCAAGTTGCGGCAAACATTCATGCGGTTTTCTCTTTGGTCATCTCCGAGCAAGCGAGGAACAAATTTTGCAGACACCCGTCTCATGTGCAAACCTTCGGTTAAAATTCGCTGGACCGTGCTCCATGAGATGTTCGTTTCCTCAGAAAGTTGGTCAATGGGCTTTCGACGATCTTCATCAATTTCACGCACACTCTTTGTTCCTTCTGGTCAGCCATCTCACTAATCGCCAAAGGGTTGAAACAGGAACGCACACAACAGAGCACCACAGACAAACCACTTAACTCAGACTGACGCCAGCTCACTAACAGTCGTGGGAGACCCCCAGCTAACACCACCTAGCAGCGCAACTCATAACTACAAAGCATGCGCACGCAACAGGTCGTTTCCGGTTATTTTTGGGTCCCCCCTCGTAGATTTACTACTCATTCTGTCACCATGACCTCACTTCCCCACATGAAAATTACCCGAATTATGGAATGCAATTTATCCGTAATATCAGCACAACTTTTATTTATTATCAACTTGAAAATTAATTAATGGAGCTTGGATTCAAACTGCCTAGGTCCCTCATGGAAATATGATATAATTTAATTTAAATAATTAAAAGAAGTATCATAGCTTTAAAGGAGCCAGGATGACATAGTCAGTATAGTGACTGGCTGTGGGCTGGACGACCGAAGTGTTGGAGTTCGAGTCCCGGTAGAATCAAGAATTTTCTCTTCTCCAAGACATTCAGGCCAGCTCTGGGGTCCACACAGCCACCTATCCAATGTGTACCAGGGTAAAGCAGCCAGGCCGTGAAGCTGACTGCTCACCCCAACTAGCACCAAGATCAAGAAAATGTGGATCTATATATCCACTCCCCCATATGCCTTCATGACACAGTGCTTAATTAGTTAAAGACAGGGACATCTTTATTCTTTCTTACCTTTGTCATAGTTTTAAGTGTATTTGTATAATTTTTTGTATTCCTCACTTTTATTTGAAGTGTCTGATTTCATTGTTGGTGCAGGTAATTGTTTCATGAATGATTCTGAAAACTTTATGTCAGATTTTAAGGAAGATCCGGGGGTTCAGGGCATATTAAGTCCTACATGTCTTCTTCTCAACAGTGGTATGACCTTGGTAGTTCTCTGGTGCACTACCCCTAACTTTCTTTAGTAGGGTTTGAGGAAACAAACTTTTGAGCCACATAGGAATTCATAAAGCAGCGATTCAAAGTTGGGAGCCCAAAATAATTTTTCTTGGTTTCAAAGTGTGTATCAGCAATGGACAATGAATCACACCCAAACTGAGTATGAAACATTTCATTGGAAGTTGAGCCCATTTATATAAAAAGCCAATCATTAGGAAACCACACTTAACTAATTGTACGTCAACATGAAAATATGTTGAAAAACTGAAATGTCATATTTTTCAGAATATTGTATTCCTCTGGATTATGTTTTTTTTCTGCAGACAGGACTGATGATAATGACCTATATATGCATAGATGTTTTTGCAGAATTCTGTGGAGATCTAACTGCTATATCATTTGTATGTTTCTGATTCAAAACATTGTCCTTCCAGAAACATAGTTTTTAACATATAAGTGGCAGCATTATCTGGCACGCATTTTAAATTTATGTTTTTTTGCATAATCATTGATGTTCATTATTGACTCCAAAATTTAATTAATATATTTATTCAGGTGAAAAGTGGAAGCTTTTGTGCAGTTAAGGGATCAACCCACATTTTGTTATGTCTACACAGGATATAAAGATGGGGCTAGCGAGCAAGCGGAAAGGACATTGGAGGTACAGGTGCTGGCAGAAGTTGTTCCTAGCTCTCATAGGCTTCCCTCTGGCTGCTGGACTCTTATTGGCGTTCGTAGCAATATTCCGAGCAGTGTTCGTTCATCAGCAAAACCAGTCCGTTCTCCATATCTTAAATAATCAAGTTGTGGACAAAATTGATGAAAGCCAGATTATGCAGAGGGCTGAACGATTGGCAGGAGCACTGAAAATTCCTTCTGTATCATATGCAACAGACAACCAAGAAAAGGAGGCTCTCCTGCAACTGCAACAATATCTGCAAACGAGTAAGCGGGAATCCTGCATAGGGTGTAATTATCATTGATCCCCCCTCCCCTCTAGAATTAATTGTTCTATATAAACATTTGCAAGATGTAAGAAACTGAACACCACAAACTGTGATAGTTTCTTGCATAGCAATGTGGATGTAAGCATTTCATTGGGACTTCGAAGAAGAACCAATGTCATTGCAGTGTAGAAATTAAAAGCACTAACATACATAAAAGAATATGTTTCTGTCATTTATTATATAAATGGGGAGCCCAATTTATTTGGAAACGCTTTGAAGAAATGTGGAAGATGAGCTTAGTTTCAAGAAGACCAAGACGCAGAATCGAAAACACTCAAATTGATTAACAAGTAAATGGCCTTCATTACAGATTTCCCACTGATTCACAGTGCAACTTTCATAAAGAAGGAAGTTATCAACACGTACAGTCTCCTGTACACAGTTGAGGGCACAATCAAAGGGAAGCTTCCATATTTGCTTGCTTCACATTTAGATGTTGTCCCAGTTGATCCTAGCACTTGGGAAGTCCCTCCTTTCAGTGGAAAAATTATCAACAGAACGTACATCTATGGAAGAGGTGCTATTGATGACAAATGTGGAGTACTGGTAAGTGAGAAAAATAAGGAAAACTATATTCACAGAACTGTTATTGATGCTCCAAGTTAAATCATTCATGAGTTCTATTATATATGAGCTCCTCGTTAGACAAACATCCTGTGCTGTTCTGTCCAAAACTACAGGTTTCTTTACCATCTCAGGATTAATTTGTCATACACTTTTGACATCACCAGGCTTTTGATAAAAAATTCTCAAAGAACATTGCATTTGAAGATGCTGAAATATTTATTTGTGGGCAAAAGGAAGAATGACGGGAAGAGGGTAATGAATATGGCATGAAGGAGTCTGCTTTGCTTGCCACTGTTTGCTCACTGGAAACATTCTTTTGCTGTTGTACGCACATGAAACTTCGTGCAACATACACTGTCTTTATGAGAGGAGCAAAATTGCTTAATTTTTGCAGTCCTAGCTTGTGATTAAGTTCTCTAAACATATTTTCTTTTAAGTAAAAGCAGGCTCTCTTGCTATGAAATACATTTTATAACAAAGAGGCACATGTAGCACCCTTTCAGGTATAATCTTTTCATTTCTGAGACTCTAATAATAATAATAATATGTATTACATACTTGGAGTAAAACCCTTAATTCAGGAGAAAAGTAATTTTAAATAATTTACTGCTTTGTTTAAAGGCAAACTTTGCACTCTGTCATCTGTATAAGATTAAGTAAATTGACAGTATTGGTGAAGAATCATTAGAGTAGATTAAAACAGAATCAACGAAACCAGTGTCATATTAAGATTTTATTTTCCCACTGAGATTCTTTTTCTACTGCTGGAGTACATGGCATGATTAAATGTAACTGCTTAAAACAACACAAATTATGATTCGTATAGGTAATGTATAGCCTGTAATGATAAGAGTTAGAAATTTAACCTTCAATCCCTCTCCAGGGCTCAATTTGTGCACAGCCCTGAACAGAACATGATCTACAAAACTATAAGGTTTATTTTGGACTCTATCCATCGTTTTGTATAAGACAAAAAACCACAACATTTCAGAGACTGGATCTGTCTCCGTCCTCAGGTGGATGGGGCAAGATAGACCTATTCAGATGGGCCCATTAGAAAGAGCTAGTCTCAACCAAACGTTGTGGTTTTTTGCCTTATACCAGACGATTGATGGAGTCCAAAATAAACCTTATAGTTCTGTACAGCATACACCAGCATCAGAATCCTTTAAAGAACATGATCTAGTTCCCAAAATGATAAAAATGTAATCTTGAGATTGACATAAACATGAAAGCACAGGCATGAAAGTTAGGAGTGTAATTTAATGACTGTCTGGTGGTATCGTTTTGATATTGATATGGAAAATACAACTTAATATATTGATTCTATTTTGTAAATTTTAAATTATACTTCGAAGTGGTATGTACTAATTAGAAATTGAATATCTCAGTTATAGTACTAAGTTTTCACATCACTAGACCATTTTCAGTAAATGTATAATGTACCCTTCACCTCTGAGAAGTATGAATATCTCTTACAAGGATAGGCATACTTGGCTGTGAACAAAACCCATTCTTTATAAACTGTGTTCTTTTTTTCACACAAAAAATAATCTTTACCTCTGAGCTCTGTAAAATGAAGATAAGTTGAATTGTGCAGACAGCCTTGGTAAGATACTGGTTGCTTGTTTGCCTGGGGATTTGAATCTACAGAAATAAGCAAAGATGCCTGCCTCTCCTACCGTGCAAGTACTGCCTAATTCACGAAAACGCTCAATGGCATGAGACATTCATAGGAATGTGTGATCCCGTTGCCACCATATATGGGCAATTCAGGCAAATTGTAAGACATTTTACCTTGAGCATCTTGCGCTGTTTTAATCTAAATGTTTTAAACCCCGCAATTGTAGAGTAGAAATTTGAAGGTTTTTGTGTAGCCCAGGTACCTGTATGGACATTGCTCAGTAAAGATTGTCAAATGCTTTGAATGTATTACCTCAGAACCTGTTTTGAAGAATTACTATACATATATTTATGATAAAACAACTGATTTATGTTTATAACAGTATTTATTATGTTTAGGGGATTATGGAAGCTGTTGAATACATAATACAGAAAGGAGAAAGGCCACAAAGGACATTTTTCATGGCTTTTGGGCATGACGAAGAAGTAAGTTTCAATTTTATGGTTATTGGTCATTGCTTTGTGTCTGAAAAAGAAATGTCAACATACTGGTTTAATTTTCCTACATTGTTCAACAATTCATGTCCTGAAAATAGTCCCAAACCAAATTACACTTTGTATTGTTATGGTACATTATGAAATAAGTACAGTAAAGAGATCTCCCTCTTTTAAATGCTTATATGGACACAGTCATAATAAATTCTTGAAAAGAGCCTGATGTTTTACTATTATCATAGGTTTGTCTTCTTTTGATCTCTTTTGTGTAACATCATGAATTTAATGTTTTCAGAAGGAGCATTGTGTTTCAGGCAGTGCTTAGTAAATGTGAATCCTAAACTTTACCATTGATGCCTTATGACTACATGAAATTTACTTACTTTCTTGCACTCTTCTCAGAAATATGTGGGCAGGACACAGCTGCTTATGCTACCAAAGTGTACTCCCTCAGTAAAATCACATTACCTGGGTAAATGGCAATATAGCAGTAAGGCCACATGTCAGATGTTTAAAAAACCATGTTCTTTGATTGCTTTCTGTCTATTTTGTTTAAAGTGTAAGGCCAAATGGACATTAAGCACTTAATACATTCTCCTTGTGCCACTGGAACTTGGTTATTGTGAAAATTTCAGAGCAATAGACACTTAGGGATGAAGACTACAGGCTTCTGGGTTGGTAAAGAAAGGTAAAGCTATCCCTGTAACAGGCTGTGAGGACTCATAGGGTTTTGAGAGCTCAAGGCTCTCACATTTCCAAGACAATCGGCTCACAGATGGCAGTGACAATTTCAGCCTTATGCACTGGCTGCCCTTTATGCCCCAGAAAGATTCCTGGTACTCATTTCTGTTAGAGGCTGAGTTGACCCTAGGGCCATAGTGTGGCTGGAAGGAATAAATCAGTTGAAATATCCAGTGACCTCATTGAGATTCGAACCTGCAACCTTCCAGCTTGTAGCATAGTGCCTCAACCAACTATGCTAGGCTTTCGGGTTATAATGCTATATAATTCAGAGAAAGGCAGAGCAACTTATCACCCCCATCTTCAAGGTCAAAAAGTAAGCCACGCAAGAAGCCAGCGGCAAGGTGAGTTCAGCTTGCTGCCTGCTTTCACTAGTTTCTTGCTCTTGGACCCTGAAGATGGAGGCAATATTGTCTTTCAAAACATCAGGCTGCCTCAAAACTACATATCATTACAACTCGGAGGACTGTAATCTTCATAGTCATTGCATGGCAATCATAAATCCAACCTAGACAGGGATGTTATAGAACTGTAAAGTAAAAGTAAAGTTGTCACTGTGCTTAACTAAGCAATGTGCCATGAATACGTATGGGAGAGTGGATGAATAGATCCATGCTTTCTTGGCCTTGGCACTCGTTGGAAGTAAGTGGTCAGCTTCACGTCGTGGCCGCTTTACTCCTGGGGAATGCACCCCCAGTACCCATTGAATAGGTGGCTGGGTGAGCCCCAGAGCCAGCCTGCACAACGTGGAGAAGAGAAAACTCGTGACCCTACAAGGACACGAACTCCAAGCCCTCAGTTTTCCAGCCCATAGCCAGTCACTATATCAACTGCATTATCCCGGCCTGTTATAAGTGTATGAAACAAATTTGGCATTGCTATGCCTCAATGTTGGCTGAACAAATGACACTCCAAGCACCTTTGTAAGAATTCTGTTACATTTATGACACTGCTCTTTAGGACACTACAGTGTCTTCATCGGTTTTCTTTAGCCCTGTATGCCATACCTTGTAGTACTGCAGGTATCCAACTAACATTAAGCATCGACTCTGACTACTACATTCAGCACTCTTAGAAAAATGGCTGTAGGTTCTGTTTGTTTCATTTTTGTACTTTAGAATAGAGTGAATGGCAGCTGTCATTCCTTATTCTGCAAACCCATGAGCAAGAGCGCAACTTGTGCAATGACTGCAGTGTATATCCTTTCAGTACATCATTGAATTAATATTAAGTAAAATGTTCATGATCAAATTACACATCTGGTGTGTTTTCATTCATTTCTTGCTCTCTGCTAACATTTGGTGATGTAAAATAAAAATATTGGTTTATTTTACTGTTTTGTATAACTTCCATTTCAGCAGTATGTTTGATTCTAGATTTCAGGGAAGCGGGGTGCTCAAGAATTAGCAAAAACTTTGAAAGCCCGGGGAATTGATCATCTGGATTTTGTTTTGGATGAAGGTTTTCCTTTAACAAAGGATCTAATTCCAGGAACAGATAAGCATATTGCCATGTATGTATGACAACAATAGCTTTAATTGTTACAAATTACATTTATCATCTTGCTAACATATCACTGAATTGCATGTTACTAGGGACATACAGAAACTAATGAGCATGATCAGTTTATGTTTCTTTAATTGACATAATGAGACTAATAGTTATTTGACCAATAATTGTATTTGTTTTCTGCAATCAAAATACAGGCCCAGAGTATATTCATCAGTACCTTTTTGTAATCCTCTGTGACAGACCGGCTGTAAATAATTTATCATTTTGTCAGAAGGCTGCAATGTAATTCCTCACTAAAGGGGAACAGCTCTGCTGCAGACACTCTTGATCATCTTTGTCATGTCTGTGGAGACTGCTGCTACACTGGATGAGACGCTTCGAAGATGTCAACAAGGACACTGCCAGTATGCCTTGTAGCAGTTGACCAAGAAGTGCCACCATGAATGCAGTGAGCAGAAAGTTGATGCACCTGTCACAGAAGACCAAAGGTGATGGTTATGGGAAATGTAGAACAGCTTGGCAATGGGCACAGTGCTGTGCAGGAGATGGTAAAGACTTTGGGATACCAGAAAGTTTATTGTCATTGCATTCTCTGACTGCTGATGGATGAGCACAGAAGGGCACACCTGGATGCGTTGTCACAGTTGCTTCAACGATATACAGCCAATGGTGATCACTTCATACTAAACCCTGTGACTAGTAATAAAAGCTGATTCCACCATTTTGATCCCAAAACAGTATGTTGGATCATTGAATGACATCATGCTGCATCGCCATAGAATAATGAAGCTAGAACCATAGTCTTGGCTGGAATAATTATGGGAACAGTTTCCTTGGTTGCCCAGGAGTGCATACTGGTTGATTTCCTGGCCAGAGTGGAAACTATTAATGCAGTTTTATTTATTTAGGAACTCCTGAAACTGTGACATTCCCTTCACGACAAGCATTCAATGAAAATACACTTCAATCCTCAACACAATAATGCCCATCCTCATAATGCACATCTGACATTGGATAAAACTGAAAAGTTTGGCTGGGAATTGCACCCTTGTCCTTCCTACCCTCTGGACTTGGCCCCTTCAGACTGCTACCTGTGTGGACCCATAAATGTCACATTGTGTGCCAGCATTACAAAAATGTTGCAGCAGTCCTGCAAACCGTTCATGCATGGTTGCAAAATAATGAAACAGAGTTCTACAAAAAGCGGCATATTCAAGCTTGTGCAGCATTGGCAGAAATGCCTGGATCATTCTTGGGATTTCATGGAATAATAAAACAACATCTCCAGTAACCCAAGATGGTATATGCTTTTGTATATGCACTTTTGATGTAATATGTATTAAATGTGCTCATGACTTTTAGTATGGCCTACTTAACATTTACTATCTTTTCTTCTGTGTCTGTGTATTTCACATCAAATCAAGTGACTTAAATACAAAATAAAAGGTAACCTTTTCCTAAATATTGCAGGAATTAAGCCTGCAATATTTTTTGATCTGATATTCTAAAGAAATAAGATTAGGAAAGATATTAATATTGTGACATGCCACCTAAAAGCTGGAGAATGGAAGTCGAAGCAAATGTCCGTTGCCAGCCAACAGCTGGGTAAACACTGTCCCCTCAGTGGAGTCAGCCATTGCTAGGTAATGATTGGCTACACATGTTCTGAAGGTATGCTGTATACAAATACACAGTTTGCAGATATAGTAACGACAGTAATTACAATGGTTTCCAACACAACATGATCCCAAAAGAACAGAACAGAACCCTTCAAGGCAGTGTCTGCTATCAAGGCTGCCTGACAGTTACGACCAGGAATGAGCCATGAGTTCAGAAGCTCAGAAATAGAAGAAGGCAGAAATCAGACACTGAAGAGGTCAGAAGAAGTGAGAAGGCAGAAATGAAGTCTTTATTTTGTGTGTTGTAGTTACAGCAACCTTTAGAGTGTTATCATTGTTCATAGTTGCAAAGTGTTGTAGGTACAGTAAAGCTGAAAGTGTTATAATCAATTATAGTTCCACCTGGTGCATGTCCAATAAATCAACTAACCAGCCAAGCCCACATCTAAAGCCACTAATGCACGTGACAATATTGTATTCAAGAGGTACCCAGCTCTGCCTTGGATGGGTTGCTGCCTGTCCAGAAGAAGGCTTGCCATTATTTTCCTCATTCCCTGAATTCAAATGTTGGAACAGTACTTTGAAGTAAACCACAATCACCTCCTCCCAGATTAAATAATTTTCCTGGGGAGTAAAGTGCGGCTGGCGCGTAAGGCTCACAACCTTACCGCCATTTTTGAGCCGATTGTCTAGATAATGTGGGACCCTCAACGTCTCACAACCCTATGGGCCTTCATGGCCTGGTACAGGGATAGCTTTACTTTTTACTTACTTTATGTAATGCAAAGAGTTGGCACACTGTTGCTAATAACCCAAATATATGTCAGGATAGTATGATTTATAATCATCAGGACACTGGGTACATCTTCAGTATCATTATGTTTACAAAGAGCATAGGAACTTGCCTTTACATGAAATTGTTGTCTCAGCATACATTTTAAATCAAAATGTCAGTTACATGAAACCTAATTTTGAGACTGATGTTTAAAGCCCATGCCAGCACTGCGGGAATGACTTACCAAGCAACTATCAGGGCTGAATAACTTAACATAATAAGTGCATAATAAAATTTGGGTTAATTCCATCACTTGAAGCAAAGTCTATTCACTTTTAGTGCAGTGTCATTGAAACATTTATGGAGTAACATATATAGTGCAGTGAATACGTTAAGGTTTCCAGAAATGATGAAACCAGTCACAGAAATTCTGTTTTTCACTTCACACAATTACCATTGTTCCCTAGATTTTTGTTTTCACTGGTATCATCACTTGTGTGATCATCGTCATCCATTGTTAGAGTTGATGATTAAGTAAGCCTAGAAATTATAAGTGGGCCAAAAATATTTTGTTTTATTATTTAATATCTGCTGTCTCCATTATGTTTGTTTTATGTCACACAAAGGAAGTTTTGAAATCGTACAACGTTTTGGTTAATCTGTTGAATATTGTAACACAAAAGTGAAGGTGCCCCTCAGTAAACTCTTACCGCACAGGCTCCCCATACGTTAAATGCAGCATACTCTTTGTTAGGGTCGGCATCTCGGAGAAGGGCACAGCCACTCTGGAACTGAGTGTATCTGGTAATCCAGGTCACTCCAGTTTCCCCCCAGAAGAGTCAGCCATTGGCATCTTGGCAGCAGCTGTTGCTCGACTGGAAGAAAACCCACAACCATCACTTCTTGGCAAAGGACCTGAATCTGCAACTTTTAAATACCTGGCTCCCCATGTACGTAGCAGTATCACATCTAGATCCTGAAGGGTTCTGATGATGGTGTGTAACACTCACAATTACTCAGTTACACATTGCACAGAGTCAGAAATTACTTCTGCATGAACTATGAAAATGTCTAACATACTTATGAAACATACTTAAAATAGAATTCTTTTAGACTTGGCGAAACATACATATTTTTTTTGTATGATGAACCATTTTTGACCAATGTGACAAAGTTACATATTGGATCATCATGAACCAAAATTAAATTATCCTTTAAATATATATTGTTTTATATATATTTAGTAATTGTGGATATGAAACATGCAGACAAATTGATATCACTTCCCTGTCATACATTTGTCTTACATGATTCATACAAATAATTCATATAGTGATGTACTGAGCAATCATATGTGTCTGTTTTACTTATAACCACTCCCTAATAATTATATAATATTTGCAGTCATTGTTACTAGTCTAAGCATAATAGTTGCATGAAACTCTGAGATAGGACAGATATAATCATATGATGCTACATGTTTACAGCATAATGCTTCTACTTCGCATGGTGATTGAGCATATATAGGACATACAGAGGCGGGACAAAATAATGGAGACACTACAAATACTTTACACACTCCTTTATTAACCTGGTGTTGGGCTACATTTTGCCTTCAGTACAGCCGCAGTCCTTCTTGGTATTAACTTGTACAAGTTTTGAACAGTCTGTAGTGGAATTTGATAGCATTCTTCTTGAAGATTACCTTCAAGTTGCTTTAGAGATGTTGGAGGTGGGAACCTGTTCCTCATGCTAGTCTCCGAAACTGACCAGAGTGGTTCAGTGATGTTCAGATCTGGTGCTTGTGCTGACCAAGGAAGATGTTGAAGTGCACCTTCATGATCTTGAAACCATCACTGAACAGTTTCAGTGGTGTGAATGGGGGCATTATCATCTTGAAAAACTGCCTCAGAAATAATTTCTGGATCATGGGGTGCCCCCGATTACCCAGCCTGTCCACGTACTCCCTTGCAGTAATTCGGCCATGAAGGGCAATAATGGGACCAACAGAATACTGTACCACAATATTGCTGCCCAAACAATCACAGAACCTCCCCTGCATTTCACTTTTGGAACCAGGCATTCCGGAATGTAGGCTTCTTTGGGTTTTCTCCAAATGTAAACTGTTCTTGTGGTAGGCAACTGTGTGAAGTATTACTCATCTGACCAGATCATGCGCACATTTCCAGTGTTCAGATTTTATAGCCATGACACCATCGTTTATGTACCTGAGCATTACTTCCAGTAGTCAGAGGTTTAGCAACCAGAATTCTACTGTGAATGTTGGATTTGTGAAGCTCATGTCAGACATTTTTTGTTGAAACAGGGTCTTCATGATGAATATTCAGTTTGCTGTCACCTATTCTGCAGTAGGTCTGTGATTTTTCAGAAGAATTGATCTGAATATATGATGGTCTCTTTTTGTCAATGTTGATTTTCGCCCACTTTTCCTCTTCACTGATTCAGAAAATTATTACAAATTTATTACTTAAATACGAAATTGTTCATGCTTAGTGGAGCCTCTTGAGAGTACAGTTTTGACGTGTGTTATGGACAGATGCTATAATAACTGGATGCCACTGGGTAGGACCATATAAATAACTGTGTTTATTTCTCAGAAAATGGTATGAGCACTGACTGTACAGATGTCACAAGAATAATTAAAAGAAAAGAAAACTGTGAAAATTACAAACTTGGATATCCCAGGAGTAGCAGTCGAAGTGTTAAGAAAACTCTGTGTAAATTTTAAGCATGAAATGTGTTACAATTAATATTTTGCTGGACATTATCCATCATCTTGTCTATTCTAAAAACAGTCTAATTTCTATTAAAAAACACAACGTTTCGGGAACTGGATTCTGTCCCCGTCTTCAGGTAAAACCTACTCAGTTGGGTCCAATAGACAGAGCTAGCCCCTATCTCCGGACCTAGGTCTGTAGAATCAAGCTCAATTCTAATTGTGGTATCACATTACATTTATATTCTGCTTTAATCTGTAATCATAGAAACATTAGTCATAAGGATGATGCAGTGACATTGCTTTTGAAACTTCCTGTCTCCTTAGGTTTCTTTCTTTTATCGTCTTCTCTATAACAACTTGTGGCTAATTTCTGGCTTGATGGCTCGAGAAATGGAACGTGTGGCTCTCACTAATGCTTTCGTTCGCACTACCACTGCTATTACGGTGTTTCATGGCGGAATTAAGGTAATCAGTTTTTTCCATATGACTGGACAGTTTCTAATATGTATTGTTAATGATTTTGTTTTGTTTTTACTAATGTTGAAAAAGGAAAAAGCAAAATCAATCTATTCACAGCACATATCATAAATCAGCTATTTCTGCAGGAAGATTGAAGGGAGTACTTATAAAGAAAAATTGAAGATTTCTTAACATTCTTGAATGATTCCATACTTATGAAAATGTAAAAATTTATGTACTGGAACAACACATATGGAGATGTGTACAGCCTCACATTCAGTTTAGTCATTGACCATAAAACTGTGTATTAGCTATGCAGACTAGGTGACTGTAAACGAGTCCATAACTAAATATAAATCCTGGCCGCTGCTACATCTCTGTAAGTATCTATTCTCATATATTATTCTAGTGACCCATAATATGGTTAGAGACAATTGAAATGGGCTGCTCATAGTACTAACCAAGAACCATTTCCTTACAGACTTTTTGACACCCAACATTTCTGATACATAGTTAGATTATAAAGATCAACATGAGACACACACAAAGTCCAATATGAATACCATTGTTTTGAAAAAATACTAATTCTACTCTCTTTCATAGCATAAAACACAGTTTACATTTTATATACTATAAATATGAAGATGGGCCATTCATAAAAAAAGTTAGTAAAGCTGTCCCTGTGCTTAGTTAAGCACTATGCTATGAAGACATATGAGGGAGTGGAGGTACACATCATCTTTCTTGACCTCTGCACTGGATGGAGGTGAGTGGTCAGCTTCATGCCCCTGCCACTTTACCCCCTGGGAAAAGAGTTCCTGGTACCCATTGGATAGGAGACTGTGTGGGCTGCAGAGTCAGTCTGGATGCGCAAAGAAGAGAGATCTAGCAGTGCTGGGAATCGAATCCAGGCTGTCCAGCCCATAGCCTGTCATTGTAACAACTGAGCTATCCTGACTTCAGTCCATTCATAAACACAGTTAAAATTATTTCGATGGTATACAAACTCAATATTGACAGCATCATTAAGTAATTAGCATAAAAATGTGTTAAAATTAAAATCAGCCAAGATTAGGGTATAAATGTCTGTTATAAATTCATAAAAGACGTCTGAAATGGCATACATTTGATGTTGAAACATGTGGCCTTATTTGACATATATGAATTTGTTGTTTGTCTGAAACCTACGTTTATTTCTTACTGACAGAATGCAATATAAATCTTCATATAATTACATAAATACTAGAAATACTGTATGTATTTAGTGACTCCTCTAGCCATTGCACAGTTGCAACAAATTCTTATCTTCCTTTTATTGTTAATATTATATAACAAGATTAAATATAAACATCTTATTTCTCTTGCAGGATAATGTGGTTCCCCCATCAGCCAAAGCAGTGATCAATCACCGTGTTCATCCTTCTCAGACAGTGGCCGAGGTGATTGCATACGATCGTAAAATTATCTCTGATCCGAGAGTACACATCCGGGTGAAGACCTCCCGTGAAGCACATCCTGTATCTCCATTTGGGCAGGATTGCATTCCCTTTCAGATGATTGTGATTAGTATCAAGCAAGTGTTTACAGATGCTGTGGTTGTTCCAGGTAAATACATACAGTAGATGAATATTTATCACATCATAAATTCCTGTGTACACTGTGTTAGTTTTCTTATGAATTGGCACTAGCATGAGCTCTCATATGAGAAATGTCATATGTGTTCATATCTAGCATTCAAATTGTTTTCTTCAGATTTCAGTATGAGTTTTAATTTGGTTGAAATGGGAACACTGTATTTGATTTCAGTAGAGCATAAAGCATTCAGTTATGATGAGAACACGCTGCTAGCAATAGCATGGTGACAGTTTACTGCATGACTGTAGAGGATATAACACAAGGGTCTTCCCCGCATGCAACACTGACTCTCTCTCCTTAAACAGAACCGTCATTTCTGATCAATGTAAATTGGCAGTACATACTTAATGTATCTTATGAGGACTGCTGGATATGACCCTCTGTTGGCTTCAGGCATGCCTTATAGTGCATAAACAAGTTCTGCAACATTTCATGCTTGGAAACTGAAACAATTGCACATATTATGGCATGATGGTTTTCTTCACTCCATATCTGTATAATCTACATATTAATATGACCAATAATGTATGAAAGATAAGCAAGGGAATATTGATAAGCTGTGAATGGAACATTTACTTCTGCAGTTGATATGACAAGGACTCATTCACGCATTCGGCAAAAATGTTGTGGTCAGCACAGTAGCACGTGAAACCTCTTGTGCAAGTATTTTTATCATAAATCTCTGTTCATTACTCTTGCAGTCACATGCACTGCTCAGCTGTGAGTTTTCAAGCTGAATCCTTCATAAAAATGAAGACATACAGAAATTACAGTGTACAATGTATCGAAGCTTGTCAAGAAGTGATGGATTACAGGTTCAGATTGTGACAAAAAGAGACAGTTTAAGAGGGTTGTGCTGACTGAAGAGAAAGTTAAACGTGTTCAGACACAGAGTTGTTCAGTGCCTGCAGATCATTAAAATGCTTGGCACAAGGCTGTGGTGTTCGATTGGGATCTGTGTTCGCAGCCACAGCATGTTAACTATATATGATGACAGATTTTAAACACTCCTACACATTTTCTTAGAATTATATATTATGATAATTGAGATAATACAATTGTGCAAACTAAGTTTATGTGTGACCATTTTCAGGATTTTAAAAATTTGTATTGTGCCAAAATGCAGAGAAGTTGGCAGTTACTGAACATAGGATTGTGTGTGTGTGTGTCTAAAGTTAACTAAATACCAATGATTGAAGATAGCACAGACTTGTAAACCCATGGGGTAAAGAGTAAAAGAAAGACAATGGATGCTCTAGAAGAGGATTTTACAGTTTGTACAGACAGTATTTATTTTTATTGCTAGTGGGGTGGGACTAAGTCCCTTGTACTGCAGCCACTTCTGGCCTATTGTACCAGCCCCAGGTGGTAGGTGAGGGTGATTTTTGAGCAGTTGGTGGAATGAAGATTGGCAGGGAAAACCGAAGTACTCAGAGAAATCCTGCCCCAGTGCCACTTTGTCCACCATAGATCCCACTTGAACAGATCTGGGATCGAACCCGGGCTGCCACGGTGGAAGCCAGCGACTAACCGCTTGAGCTTTGGCACAGCCACCTTGTACAGACAGTAAGTTTCCAGGTCATGAAGGCAAGAAGAATACCGAAAATGTCTCTTCTTAATTAATATTATGATCTGTTGTAACCTATTCTTATCATTGTGGTGTATAACAGGTTACAGCAAAATCAATGTAACCTTCTTGTACACAACAAACTATGACACACCTGCCAGCTTCTTTGATTAAGGTGTTCCTACCAAAACTGTGAATGCAGTTCTCTTTTCTCCCATGCATGCTATGTGTTGTGCCAATTTCATCCTTCTTTATGTGGATATCCTAATAATATTTGGTAAGGACACAAAATTTGAAGCTCCTCAGTATACAATTTTCTTCGGCATCATTTTTGCCTGCTATAATCAAATATTCTCCTCAGTGCCCATTTCTCAAACATACTTAGTCTTTGTTCTTCCTTTATTGTAAGAGATCAAGATTCATACTCATACAAAACTACAGGTAAAATTATAGTTTTGTGTGTTTTAATCATAATACAATGCAATGACCATTCAATCTATAAGGACATTTATGGAAACTTAATTTAGTATTAATTTTAATTGTTTAATGATGCTGTTGGTATTGAGGCTGTATAGTGTCAAGACTTAATTTAAATCCTCTGATAATTAACACTTACAAAGCTCTCCAGAAATGTAATCCTTCTTCTATAGCTTCCCACCCACACACTGAAACCTCAAATTCTATTGCACTAGGGGTCAGTGTCATCATTCGCCAGATTCTGATTCTGATTGAACTTAAGTGAAACTCAGTACCCTACTTTATGTTTCCTTCTCTCGTAGCTGTCTTCATTGCCAACACTGACACACGGTGGTACTTAAGTGAAACTCAGTACACTACTTTATGTTTCCTTCTCTCGTAGCTGTCTTCATTGCCAACACTGACACACGGTGGTACTTAAGTGAAACTCAGTACACTACTTTATGTTTCCTTCTCTCGTAGCTGTCTTCATTGCCAACACTGACACACGGTGGTACTTAAGTTTCACTACAAATCTGTACCGGTTCCTGCCAACTGTTGTCATGCCAGAAGATGTCAGCCGTTACCATGGAAACAATGAGCGTATATCAGTCCAACACTACCATCAGGCTGTCAGCTTCTATTACCGTGTTATCAAGAATGCTGATGTGTTGATTGACCAAGTACCAGCGTCCACTGTCAACAATGGTGATGAAGAATTATAAGTAATTAGTAAAAGGATGTGGCTAAAATACAAATGTGTAACTTTTGTGGCAAACAAAATTAGCTTCTTTAATTTATCTCAATCCCCATTTGAAAAGGTTTAAATTAGGTATAATATGCTGACATCATGGCACTGTAGTTATTATGTTTGAAACCTGCACAGCTGTGATCAGCATGAGATGCATATGTCTTAAGCACCTGGGTGCTTTACAGTATAACCTGGCAAAGCGCTGAGCCGACTGGTTTGATGGCAATAAGATATGATATTTTGAAATGTACAAGAAAGAAAACAGATGCGCCTAAAATCCATAAAACTTGACAACTGAAACAAAGAAGTGTGTTCGTTTTGAATTCAGGCATTATGATTTAAATTTAAAAACCTTTTGTTCAAGGAATTTTAAGACCATCTTTCTTCTCCTTTTCGCCGAATTTGATAACATTTTAAATTACATACCCATTTTGGCCCCACAACGCTTCACCAATGAGAAGTCATGGTGTACTGGCTATGAAAATGGCTGCACATGTAAAGTAACAGTTATGTTATGCATGAAACTTCTCACCATAACTGTTCTTCATTTTGGCAGGTTATATACACAGCAGTATGATAACATCTCACAAATAACAGCTCTGATAGAGTTTTGAGAGCATGTTCAGCCCTATTATTATTTTATTGTTAGTGGGGTGCGACTAAGTCCCTTGTACTGTGGCCACTTCTGGCCTATTGTACCAGCCCCAGATGATAGGTGAGGGTGATTGTGGAGCAGTTGGTGGAATGAAGATTGGCAGGGGAAACTGAAGTACTCAGAGAAAACCTGCCCCAGCGCCACTTTGTCCACCACAAATCTCACTTGACCAGACCCGGTATCGAACCCAGGCTGCTGCGGTGGGAAGCCAGCGACTAACCGCTTGAGCTATGGCTCTGCCTTATGTTCAGTACTAACTAAACACTTTAGAAACATGTCAGCCATATATCTACCATAAAGCAAAATATAGGGTTTACAGAGTTGACATGGAAGTTTGTAAGTTTTTTAGTGTTGTGAAGACTATGGGAGGCAGCATACTTGTCTGGATATTGGTAATTCACTTGGTAGTATATTTTGTTACTGTGAAGTAGCCAGTTTGCTGGACCACAGATTTACTTTTTCAGTTCATTCTTAAATGGTTGACTGTGAGCAGGCTGCAGGGAAATGAATACATTGAGTAGACCACAGCCAACCAACTGCTAACTACAGCATTAGGAACAGGAACCAAGAAAATGTTCTTCCTGTGAACGGAAGGGCAACCTTTTACTGCCATTTTAATATTCATCAGTCTGCAGGATTGAATGGAGACTGCATGTGCTAATGAGCTCCAAAGCTTGAAGATTTCTCTCCATGGAATCTGAACGTATGTTGCATTAAGATGTCACATTAGTTTTCTGTTCATTTATCCCACCTTCATTGATGGATCTCTTATTTCTTATGTTTATTATATGTGATACATATATGTTGCTGAAAGGCTGAACCGGTTTCAGCTTCTTTATTTGGACTTCAGCCATTTTAGCTTCCCTGTTCTCTCATTTAAATACACACATATCAAATAACCTTCCACAAGTTGTAATTCTTATGCTGTTTACTCATTTATTAACGTGGTTTCAGTCAGTGGTGGCAGAGATGTCTGATTAAGGGGAGAGTGAATATGGTCATATTATTAAAATTTCTAATTTTATATTTTTGAAGGCCTGATGAATTTCAGTTAAAGGAAATACTGAGAATTTTAACACTGCATTGTACTTAAAGGAAACTATAAGGTTGTTAGTGCAGAATTATAAATACTAGAAATTAAATTCTATTAGCTTGCTATAAGTAAGTGGATGTGTTTCAGAGAACAGAACTTCAGTTCATCTTGTATACATTGTAAGGTTGGTTGTGAATGAAAACATATACATACTTTTGGCAACCAAGGTGAGTATGATACATGCTGGCTCAGTTCACCAGTCAGACAAAAATTGTACAAACAAGACATGTTTCTCAAAGAAAGAAGCCATGCCTGCCTGTGCCATTTCATACTGAACTTTTCCCAACATCTTGGTATGTAAGACTCATCAGTGTTGCATTAACTTTTAGCTTACAGCATTTAATTTTACTCATGGCTGTGGGAGCACACAGTAGTGATTGACAGACACAATCCTTGTTCATGAAAGTCTTTGTATGGTGTGTGCCATAAAGACTTGTTGGCTCTCAAAGTCTGTGAACTGACACAGGAAATTGTTTCTTCCTTGTGGCTTGCATTTTGTGTTTCTTTGGCATCTATGGAATAACATTGACTTCCTCTAACACCTGCCAACAGAATGGAAACATGTTCATAGTACATGATTTCTAATACTTCATTAATAATATCATGAGATAAGTAGTTATTTAATTCAAAATTGTTGTATGTTTTGGAAACAGGAAACAGAATCTGTTGTAAACTTCTTCCAGCATCACCATGTCCTCTTAGGGCAATTCCTTGATGTACCAAACATCATACAATAACGAGAACTTTGATTAATATATGTCTTTTCTCTTCCTCCTTGGAAAAGGAAGATGATATCTAAGTCAAACAAGTCTCTTGAATGTGATCTTTGATTTTGTAAGTTACCTAACTAAGAGAGGAAGGGGATTCGTGAGCTTGAAACTTGTTGAAAGTTTTTTCCAATAGGAACTCCCCCTTAAATGACTTCATCATGCCTACTCCTTCATGGATTTCTTACCATGCCATCCTCAATTGCTTTGTTGTATCAAAATGAAACAGCTTGTGTTTACTGACGCAAGAAGCTAACCCAAGAGTGTCAAAACTGCCTTCCTACCTTCTCAGCAGTAACATTTTTTAAGACATATGGTTCCTTACACCACAGTCCCTGTACAAAGCAGGACAGTATTTGCTACAAATGTCACTTCTGTCTCTGCCTTTGCCAGCAGAATGGAGGTAGCTGTCATTTTCGCTGAATAACTCGCAGCTGTTGATGATGGATATGTCTCAACTGCTCAGTATGTAGAAAGTTTTCAGGAGAGCTAACTTCACCGTTAGTGTAGGCATATCTGATTTTGAAACTATTACCCACAGTGCAAAAAACGTTGTCATTTTTCTCACTTCACTATGATCACTGATAATACTTCGGCTATAAGTTCAATGAATTTACATGCTACAGGGAAATTTTAAACACAAAAAAACACATAATTGTCACTGTGATTATATATATTACATATTCCATATATTTTTCATTTCATGCATCCTGTTGTGTTACAGTATACAACCTCTTTATTGCAACCGTCACAACACAACAAATATCAAGATCAGTGCCTAGTTTCGGCTATCAATAGCCATCATCAGGCAAATACATGGTTAACATATATACACCACTGAACTGCAGTACTAGTAAAATTGGATACAATACTATTAATTACATAAAAAAAACACTTGACGTAAAAACACAATAAGTCAGATTATATAAAACAGAAGTTATAGTATAAAGCAACAATAAAATTCTTAGATTTTAGAAGAAAACATTGTTAGAACTATTCTAAATAATAATAACGACCCACTAAATACCATACAACTAACACAAAGACCCTCCACTTAAAATACTATGCTTAAAAATAAATGGACCGTTGTTTACATTCCATACAGAACGGACAATACTTTGTAAGATGAGGCACCGACTAAACAGTAATATACGTACCTATATCTTCAATACCAAAATCAATTGTTTATTATAACAAAAGTCCATACTATTACTTTCATATCATTTTCAGATTAACATCAGTTTACTACATCTACATCACGAGCCTCCTATACAATTTTATATGCAAAAAAAAAATTATAGAATATTCCAATTTGTCCATGGGAACGCAACGAAATTACAAAACCAACAACTGATTCGATGATGTAAAACATCAATCGAAGAATTTTATTCTTGTTTTATAGTATGACTTCTGTTTTATATAATCTGATTCATTGTATTTTTACGTCAAGTGCTTTTTATATAATTAATAGTATTGTATCCAATTTTACTAGTGCTGCAGTTCAGTGGTGTATATATATGTTAACCGTGTATTTGCCTGATGATGGCTACTGATAGCCAAAACATGTAGCAGAGCCGAAACCAGGCACTGATCTTGATATTTGTTGCGTTGTGACGGTTGTAATAAAGAGGTTATATTCCATATATGTTATGTTATATATGCTGCATTCACACAAATTTCATTCCAATAAAGTAAAATTTTCAGGACAGGAAACACACCTAACACACTGAGCACTGAAATATGCCGCTGACTGACATGAATAATTAAGTTCACAAGATTCCAGAAATTGCAGTGACATCTGCCAAGTAAGTTCTGAATGCTAAAGACTGTGCTTCATGTATTGTATTGTGACATGTTGCGCAACGGAGGACCCCTACCTCCCCAGGGGCACGTGGTGGTAACGTAGCGCTCTCGTAACAGGCGAGTCTTTGCCCCGCCACTCTCCCCGCGGTAAAGTGCCGAGCGGAGCCGAAGTTAGCCGAGTCCCAGCATCCTGGTAGCTATGCAACGCGAGTCAACAGCGGTGACGTCACCAAGGGGTACCGCGGGTTGCTAGGCAGCGCGGGTAAACAGTGGTTGCGAGAGACGACGGTAGTAACAGCGGTACACAGCGTTGCTAGCACGACGGCACCAGACAACAGTGGTGCCTATTACGTGGCCGTTTTCTGTATTGTCCAAACGAGGCTACATAAGGAGCAGCGAAGGCTATTCACAGTTAGTCCTCGAGTTACCTCCGAGTTAGCCAGCGACCAGTCAGTTGTATTCTGGCATTTGCAGTGTAGTATTTGTGATACTGCAGATAGCAGTAATTGTGAATCTGTAATTTGGGTGATTGTAAGTGCGAATGCGAAATAAAATTCGCTATAGCAAATACGGCGTGAAGTTATCGGTCGCGTTATACACCCAATACGCGACAGTATATATGATCACTGTTCAAGGCAATAACCTTGACCTTTGGAAATTTCGCTCTTCTTGTAGCAGGATATAAAGATTGGGGGGGGATGCCAGTTACTGCAAGACACTCAAGTTCCTGGTAGTTCTGAAGGGCCAACTTCCAACTTTGTTTTAGTTTTAGATAATGCAGTGTATCACAATTTTCGGCCCAACATAGCATTGACATTTTCATTCTGAACATAGGTGCCTGGAAATTGCATGTACACGTACGTGTATTGCAGTAGATTAGTGGCTAGAACTTCCAGCTGACCTTGACTTTTTCTTGCTTCTTCTCCCTCTCCATCATGCAACCACAACTTGCCAAGCTTCATGCTAAACCTTGTAAGGATACACGACTAGTGGAGACACAAGCATGCAAACTTCAACAAAAACAACCACCACAGTTCTTACAGCATAAACATCAAAATACCAGCTTAGTCAATCTTTCTTTCATGAGATGCCAATAAACGCCTTGATACATGTATGATTACTGGTGCTCATACTCCACATAATTTTATTTTATTTCATTCCTAATAAATGACAGACAGTTGTATTTATGAGCATTTTATTTTCATAAATTATTGAAGGATATACCCCACATCAAATATTATAGGCAGGCTTAAACCACTCTTTCCCTTAGGCTCTGCCACCTCTGGTTTTATTTTAGTAAGCTGATAACTGTTGTGTTGCATTTGGCAGTATTTGAAAATATACTGTGCATGTCAGATTTATTTATTTAAGTAACATG